CCCCCCCCCCCCCCCCCCCTCCCTCCCTCCCTCCTTACTCGTCCATGCTGCCGTGGCTGTCAGGTACAGGGGAGTGCGGCGAGTCGTCCAGGTCTTCCACATGCAGCGATGAGTCTCTCCTGTCACTGGAGGGCGCCGTCACCTCGGCTTTCTCTGCCTTGTTCTTGTCCTGTTTAGGTTCCAGTCTGGAGGAGGCGCTCACTCCTTCGCTGTGTTCCAGCTCACTGATCGGACAAAATAAAAACCAAAATCCCTTTAAAATCTTGTGCAGGAACACTGGAAAGTCCTTTGATTGGCTGAAACCGAACAGCATGCGTGAAACTGTACCCGACTCTGCGACTGAGGCGGTCGCATCTCTCCTGCAGCAGCGCCACCTTGCTCTCCAGTCGAGCCTTGTCCTCCTTTGCCCTCCGGCTCTCCTCCCTGGCTTTGTCTCTCTCCTCCCTCAGCCTCTCCTCCTCCTCCTTGGCCTCGCTCCTCTCCTCCCTCGCTCGCTGGAGGAGTTCTCTGGCTTGATGTTTCTCCTCTCTCATCCTCTCCAGCTCCTCCGTCAGCTGGTCCCTCTGCTGGATCAGCCGGGGTAAGGCCTGGACACACACACACACACACACACACACACACACACACACACACACACACACACACACACACAGGGGAAATAGGGGGTTGATAGATGGACGGGTTGATGAATGTAATCTCTCTTTTTATGAAGAGAAAGCAGGATGTCCCACCTCTATCTGTCTGTCCACTTCCTCCTCTTCCTCCCCAAGCTTCTTCCTCCTCCTCTTCAGATCTGCCGCCTGATAAGAGACAGAAACCATCAGTCCCTGTGATTCAGGTTGGTGTATCAGTGATTAATAGTACATACAGTATGGGATAGCAGACCTTGGTCTGCAGCATGGCCTCCTGGCTCTTCAGCTCTTTGGCTCTGAGCTCCATCTGATCGGCCAGATCCTCCAGTTCTGACTCCTAACAGAAGAAATGAGACTTATTCACTGGAATAAAGTGTTTATTATCTTAGATCGTGGTGGCTATGGAGGAAGGAGTAAAGGGATTTTTTCGGTTGGATCATTTTAAATTCTAGCGTACTCTTGCTTGTTCCTCAAGATTACCGACCGTGACTTTAAATTAAAACGGCGGAGTCAAGTTCAGCCGTGCATCATTAGTAAATGTGTGTGTCCCTCTGTCCGTCTGGCCTCACCTTGCGCGTGTGCGTCAGCTGTGTCTTTTGTATCTGTGTGTTGAGCTGCATGCGGAGTTTCTCCAGTTGGACGGCATGCGAGGCCTGGAGATGTTCTCTTTCCTCCTGCAGAGTACAAAGCAAGCGCGCCCTCTGTGCAGTCTCCTGGAACACACACACACACACACACACATTAAATAAAATATGGCACAATATAGAGAGCATGTGATTGTGAAAGGTAAACACCATCCAACCTCGTCGAGGTATTTCTCTCTGATGCTGTTCATCTCTCTCCGGTGGTCCTCCCTCAGCTGCTCCAGCTTCCTCTCATGATCTCGCTGCACTTCCTCCCGCACTTCCTGAAGAACATCAGCCAGCTAGACGGTCGACGGCGAAGGTCAGTTTACAGTTAACAAGTTATATTCCAGTGAAATTAAATTCAGAGAAAAGAAATCCATATGATGATGTAATTCTGTACAGAATCTGTGTGTGTGTGTGTGTGTGTGTGTGTACACGTCCTCTGACCTCTCGCTGGTACCCTGCCAGTTGCTGTTCAGGCCGTGTACTCATGGGTTCCCTCCTCCTCTCTGTGATTTTCACCTTCATACAGACAAAGCAGAGCAAACACAGAGACGGACATATGGACAGATCATTAATCCGAGTCCCTCAGGTCCAATGCCACCAGGTACCCCCAAAACAGAACACAAAGGGTCTGGTTCTTGTGGTGTTTCCAGTTATGTCTGATGTTTACATGAACACAACACATTAACAGCCGAAGTGTTTAGATAATGTTGAGTTAGATCCTGTTAATGCCTTTTGTTAAACATTTTACTTCCAAAATGGGTTTTAAAAGCATATTTTCTGTGGATTTATAACCCAAAATATGTCGGTAATACGGTTGATGGCACCATCATAACTGATAATTCTTGCTCTTGCAGTCAGACAGGAAATAAACTAAAACTGAACTGCACTGAAGAGGGTGACAGGAGGGCAAGTCAATAGAACAATAGGAAGTTAGCTTCAGGCTACGTTTTCCAGCTTAATATGCCAAACGTCATGTACGTCAAGAGCTCTTCTTTCTTTCTTGTACTCCAGATTGCTTAATAAAAGTGACACTTTCAACTAAACCTTACTTATATAGATTTTCAAACAGATGACTATTCAGCAATTTGTTTGTCTGCGAGTGTGTTTAGCTTTGTTTGTGTCGAATGAGATATCTCTCATTAGTTATGCAGAAATGTAATCTCATTACACATGCAATGACTAAATGTAAAAACTGACATTTATAATGACTAAATAATATTGAAATCGTAAAGCGAGAAGGACACAAGAAGATCCGCTTCACCTCGTGTTTCAGGGAGCTCAGTTTCTCCTCCCTCTCTCCCTGGAGTCTCCTCTTCTCCGCCTGAAGCTCCTCCTCTGACTCCGCCTTCAGGCGTTCAGAGTCCTGCCTCTTCTGGGCCTCCAGTCGGCCGCGCTCCGCCGCTCGCTCCTCCTCCAGAGCGATGTGCAGCTCCTTCAGCAGGACCTCGCTCTCCTCCCTGAGCACACGACACAACTGATTTGAGATCGGTTGATTTGCAAGATTCATATTCTATAAAGCGGGAGAATTTGTTGCCATTGATTTGGAAAGTCTGCATTGCAGATTCCGCCTCACGTTGTTTCCTGCACATTTGTTTTCTTTGTTTCTGACCTGAGTTGGTGTTGCTGCTTCTTCCTCTCTTGCTGAGCGGACTCTCTGAGCTCCTCCAGCGTCCTCTCTGACTCCTCATTCAGCTTGGCCTCCTCCTCTCTCCTCTTAGACAGGAGACGCTGCCGCACAGCCCTGTGGATTCATGGTTCAAGACATTGTTTATGTTTTAGCAGTAAATGTAAATGTATGTTTCACTTTCCATGCCCACCTCAGTCGTTCCTCGCTCTCCTCCTTCAGCTTCCTCTCCTCCTCCTCTTCTCTCCTCAGCTCCTCTTGGAGGAGAAGCATTCTACTCGTCTTCTCCTTCATCACGTGCTCCCTCTCCTCCTCCACATCTCGATCTGCCTTCCTCCTCTCCCTCTCCTCTTTCCTCTCTCTCAGACTCCTCTCCTCTCTTTCTGCCCTCTCCCTCTCCTCTTCCTCCCTCTCTATCTTCTCTCTGTCTCTCTGGATTCTCCAGCTTGGCTCTTCTCCCAGTGAGTCCTCTTGGTTTTGTAAGCGGAGTTCAGCGTCTTCGAGTCGGGTTCTGGAGGTGCGGACCAGCCGCCCTCTGGAGGTCTCAGGCCTTTGCAGCCCCGGAGTTGTGCCGAGGCTTTCAGTTTTCGGACGGAGCCCGACATCTTGCTCTGAACGGGACAGGCTTGAGAGAGAGGGCGAAGCGCTGGACTGGTGGAGGACGAGTCGGTCAACTTTCAGAGCCGGAGGGGCGTCTTTGCCAGCAGCCTGCAAATGCCTGAAGAGGGAGAAAGGTGTCATACGAATACTACGGCTAAATAAAGTAGAAAATAACAAATAGGATTGCACGCAACTTTCCGTTGTATTTATTAATGGACAAAACTTTAATACTTCTTAAATGTCCATGCCCTTCTTTTGACAATGTAGCTGCTTCTCACAATTAACGATTTCAAAGCTGAAAATTAAAACAAATGAATTTGTGTTGGAAAAATGAACTTCCAACTCCTTTGCAACTTATTCGGAGCACAGCAGTGGTTTTCCAGGAACAAAATCAAAACAACAACAAACCTCTTGGCAGCCTCCGCCTTCTTCGTCTTTGCCCCTCCTCCACTCTCCTCTTCCTCTTTGTCGTCTCCCTCCAGTGGACTCACAGTGCCGGAGAGGTCGTTGATGTCTCGCACCTTCTCCGACAGCTGCGGGATACAAAAACAGGTTGACGATAAACAGTTTGAAACGAACGAATGGTGGTGAATAAGTATCGCACCACACGATCAGAGTACCTTGATGTCGATGGAGGATGAAGCCTCCTCGATGTTCTCGCTGGCCTCGGACTCCTGCAACAACACACAGAGACACACACTCAACGACGAGGCAGCGGCTTCTGAATGAACAAACAAAAATCGCACCAGCAAACACTGACACATCGAAGCATGCTGTGTTTTCCAAAGAGACTAAGAAACACACACACGCAGGCTAGCGTACGTCAAAAGCAGCGTACATGCAAACACAAACAAGGCCGACGAGCCTACGGTGAAATCAGACAGTCTGTGATCGAAAGCAAGCAGACTCTGAAAAAGGGGGCAGAACATGGCGGGAGATGAGTGTCCTGTGTTGACAACCAAAACTACTATGCATGTGCCCAAAGAACTGCACTGTGGATGGGAAAGAGGGATCAGAACGTTCCAATCCAGTCCTCGGGGGCTCAGATGATACTCCACTGAGGACGTTCAGGCTGGGAGCCCCTAAGGCAGTGGAGTTGGATTCTGGGAGCTACATGCACCTGCTTGCAGAGGGTCGGGTAGTGAATGTATGGGGGAGAAGGAGGGGAGGAGAGGGGGGGTGTATGCACACACAGAGAGGCAACACCGAAACCCTACCTCTGCAGGAAGAGGGCATTTTTTAGTCACATTCTCCGTCTTGCCAGCGAGAGTTTTTCTCTTTCGGTCAAGCATTTTAAGGTCACTCGGCATCGTCTTCCCGCTTAGCTTGGCTGGTCGGACCCGAGTCCCCAAAACCTCCACAACCTCCTGCTCACTCTCCGATGCATTCTGGGGCTTTCGGGCATCCGATTGGTCGTCTCCCTCCAGTCCCTCCCCCTCGGTTTCTCCTCCTTCGCTCTGTGCATGTCTCTCTAACACCTCCTCATCGCTCTCTGTATGTCTCCTCTGGCTCAGGGAGCATCTCTCCAAAGCCTCGTCGTTCTCACCCTCCTCTTCCTTCTCTTTCTCTCTTTCGGTATTTATCTCCACCTCCTCTTCCTCGCTCTCATTCGGCCCTTCTTCTTCATCTACGCTTCCCTCTAGCTCATCCTTCTCTTCGTTGGTTTTGTCCTCCTCCTCACTGCCTCCACCGTGATCACTTTTGAAGCTTTTCTCTACAACTTCATCACTACTTTCCTCAAATTCCTGTTTTTCTCCTTGCGCTCCCACTTCTTCCTTCTCCTCTTCCTCCATTGAACTATCCCCTGCCTCGTCACGCTCCACATTCTCTCCTCTGTCTCTGGTCTCATGCCGCTGGCTTCCAGCACAACTTTCCCCACCGTCATCTATCTCTTCATCACCGCCTTCACAGCATTCCTCCTCTACCTCGTCGCTCTCTACTTCCTCCTCCTCCTGCTTGCTTTCTATACACCTTTTACTTCCTCTCTGCTCGTCCTCCATCTCTTTGCTTTTTCTCCCATCTGCCTCCTCGTCTTGTGCCTCTCCATCTTCCATCTCCTTTCCTTCCTCTCCTTTTTCCTCCGTCCCTCCCTCCTCTGCTTCCCCTCCTCCTTCATCCTCTCCCTTCTCTCTCTGATGATCCTCGTCCTCCTCCTCCTCCACCTCATTTAACTCCTCTGCTGCCCTCCGTCTAGCGGCGCGTGGAGGGCGTGCCCCCTCCTCACTGACGTGGTTTCTGCATCCCGCCGGTGAGGACAGGTGGAGGTGGCGTCCCCT